GGCCACATGCTCGTGATCGTGTTTCCTGAACAAGATGTTCGAAATTTCTTTTCATATCCTGGGTAAGGCCTCCCACCAGACTCAATAACATGAATATCATTTTTCTACTCATTTTATTCTATTATTTGAATCACTTACAGTTCAAATTTGACTTATACCAAAAAATTCCTTGAAAAGCAATAAATTAATTAAATATAGCACACGGATCCAGAAATATACCAAATCTTAACATGGAGTGCCACATGTTGTATGTAGAGAGTAGAAAATTTTTTGAGGGTAGCAGAAGGAAAAAAAAAGTTTAGGCTTTACCGAGAGCCAACAAAAAACACTCAGCAAATAATGTCTTTGCCGAGAGCCAATAAAAAACACTCAGACAAATAATGTCTTTGCCGAGTGTCACTAACGGACACTCGGCAAAGTGCTTACAGCAGGGCACTCAAGTTGGCGGCCGTTGCACGGTCGGCGCACGTGCTACTATTTTGCCGAGTGCCTGATATTTGCCGAGTGTTTCGTTATTATTTGCCGAGTGTTTACTTTAAGGCACTCGGCAAAGAGAGTTTTTGCCGAGTGCAATATGTTTGCCGAATGTTGCCATGGCGGCACTCAGCACACAGTAGGTTTGCCGAGTGCCCAATAAAATGCACTCAGCAAACCCTCAGGCACTCGGCATACATACTGTTTCCGGTAGTGTATCCTCTCTCTTGGAAACCCATTTACAGAAAAGGTTATCTTTTGTGTCTTGTTGTTGGAGAAGATCAAGAATAGATATTGAACCATTTGCCTGTTGTGCTACCCAAACGACGAATGGGTTATAAATTTTGGGTCACGGTTGTTGGAGACAATCTTACCTAACTCATTTGGATAGGGTATAGGTAAACTTTTTTATCGAATAGAAATGATGCGAGGAGGGTATGGAAAGTGGATTATCCATGGGTAACTCTCTTTAGCTCAATTAATCATTTATTAGTACAAATGAATGGATTGGATAATACTAAGTATGTTAGACCCACATGTAATAATGTGCACAATGTTGTTGTCTGCTATAAAGAGTCATCTTCAACTAATTTCAGTTAATTTTGTAAAACCTTTATGGTGTGAACGCGAGGTTTTTAATTTAAAGGTCCAACTTTTGACGAGGGCCCCACATATATGCACAAAGTTGTCTGCTGTTATAACGAGTGATCTCCAACTAATTTCAGTTAATTTCATAAAAAAGTTTAAAGTGTGAAAGCCAGGTTTTAAATTTTAGGGTCCAGCTTTTAACATGGGTCCCATAAATATAACTAGCAATATTAATCAGTACAAAGTTGCCGCCTGTTATAACGAGTCATCTCTAACTAATTTCAGCCAATTTCACCAAAATTTTAAGGTGTGAACATGAGATTTTTCATTTCAGGGTCCAACTTTAACGTGTGCCCCATATTCTCTCCAGGTTGGTAAAAGAAATCATTTTGGACAAGGTTTGAGTTAAACATTGGGAATATAAATCATGATTAATTGTTAAGTTGTCGAGTTTTAAAATGTGAAAACCACATGAATAGATTTGCCTTAAAAATACTTTCATAAACATATACATATAAGACTTTTCAATAAATACTTTAATAAAAATAAAAAGTTAAAGTTATGCGTTGGAGACCGTGTGGCTATCCAAAATGATTTTTTTACCAACCTGGAGGGAGTATTTAAATGTAGGTACACATGTCTGCACAAAGTAACCTGATGTCATACTGACTCATCTCAAAAAAGTTTCGATCGGTTTTGCTCAAAATTCTAAGTGTGAACACAAGTTTTTTAAAAAAAATTTAAGGTCAAGCTTTTCATGTGGGTCCCACATATAGATCTAAATGTGGTTAATCTGTAAAAAGTTGCAGACTGTTATAATGATTTATTTCACTAAGTTCCGGTTAGTTTCACTAGAGTTTTTAGGTGTGAACACAAGCTTTTTAATCCAGGTTCCAGCTTTGATATGATCATATGAAGCCCACGTGTATATATAGCATGTATATGTGTAAATGATTAACAAAACTAGTAGTTCAACTCAAGGGTTATTCTCGGTACTAGGAGGTATGATCTCTAATAAATCTAACTTCTTGGATTTAGAAGACATAATTCGGGGGTGCTTATAGGGGTAGGGTTTGCGTACGTGTGTTCATAAGAGTGAGTGTGCGTACGTGGAACTGTGTAATTCTTAAAACAATAAAAAAAAGGAAATAGCCTGTACGAGGAGGCTTGCATGCATTATATTAAAGGAAGATTAAATGCAAATTACATGTAAATAGGAAGAGTTTCTAAGCATATCAAATCTTGCCGAGACCAACCGATTTGTCTCTAATCTAAGTTAGATATAATATTTATTGTTCATATTGTGAGACGTTAGTTGTCTGGCTATCGGATGATATTCCGAAGGCTGTTTAGCCTCAAGTCCGGTTGTGTGTTAATCATGTAATCTTTGGCTGCCATACCAGGAAACTGGCGCTCTGTCGGCTTGGAACTTCTCCTTTCTTTAATATAATTTTAATATAATGATTTGCAATTCTCTTGCTTATTCGAGCAAAAAAAAGAGTGAGACATTATATAGCTACACGAATTTTGCCGCATCCTCAATATGAATGGTACAATTTGGTTTCACGATCATCTTAAAAAAATTGTATTCCCTACAAAGTATCATCTAGAGTCGAGTATGTCTTAAAAATGTATTGTGCATATGCATGTTTCTTTTTCTTTATGTTATCACGTTACAATAAAGAGAAGTCACGTTACAAGCCGTTTTCTATCCAGACACGAATAGACGTACATTTCTTGTGTATTACTTCAACTAGTCATGTTAGGGCATAATATTCAAATATATGACATGCCACATACCATATGCCACTACTAAATCATGCCATAATACATGTACACCGATTATACCACTAAAATTAAATTATGGTATATTTTTTACTTTATTTATTATTTTTTAGAATTACCGATTATACCACTAAACTGGCTCCTCGGTGCTCAGACATCGCCAGCTACGCCGGGGCTCCTCGGTGCTCGGACATCGCTAGCTACGCCGAGCTCCTCGGTGCCCAGACGTCGCCAGCTACGCTGCGGACTACTCAGTGCTCGGACATCGCCAGCTACGCCAGGGACTCCTCGGTGCTCGGACATCGCCAGCTACGCCGGGGACTTCTCGGTGCTCGGACATCGCCAGCTACACCGGAGACTCTCAGTGCTCGGACATCGCCAGCTACGCCGGGGATTCCCTTAGTGTTCGGATCTTGCTACGTCTCATCGGTGTGCTATCAAGCTGCTCCATGCTGTTCGGATCAGGGTGCTGATCTTGGGCAGCACGTCTGGGGTCTTGATACGCGCATGTCAGATGGCGTCGGCAAGCTTTCAGACTTCTTTTTCTTTGACCCTGCTACAAGATTCATTCTTCATCTTCCAGCAGGCCCGGGGACTAAGTAGACACACTTCACCTTGCCGTGAATGTGCGTTTTTCAATTTGGGGCTCCGCCCGTGGACTGGTTGCCTGCTCGGCCGGTCTTCTGCCTTTCTTCTACTTTCTGACCCTGACACCACGTGACTACGTCACCTACTGTCAGGCTCGGGGACTAGCTGTGGGGGTATGGCCCCCGGTACCCACAAGACAAGACATGGGCCGCACCGTTAGAGGTGGCCTAGCCCACAAGATCAAGACGTGCACGGCACTGGTCGACGTGCACCGCAAGATATTGTATAGTACCAAATAAGCTACTTTCCTTGTAACTCTACCCCTCTAGATTATATACGGAGAGGCAGGGGTCCCCTAGTGGACACGATCCATACATCACATATTCAATACAATACACCAAAGACAAAAGACGTAGGGTATTACGTTGATCAGACGGCCCGAACCTATTTAAATCGCTGTATCTGCGCATTGTGTCACCATCCGGTTTCTGATCACGCGCACCTCTACGACAAATCTACCATCGTGGAATACTCCTCGATGGACTGCCGAACATCTTTTGTCAACAGCAGGCTCCTGCTACCATGACACTCTTCGGACGCATGGAAAAGACAAAGAAACATATGTTCCATTTGGTTGAAGCACAGCGCTGTCGTCAGCGTTGACCTGTTAGACGCCTGCGCGAGATGTGTTGGCACACAGCCCCGTGTCCACGCCGTGTCGCGTGTGTACAAATAGCACGCGAATTCAAAACGACTGCTGCGGCGGACGGTAATATAACTGTTCTGAAATTCAATGTCAGCAAGAGCCTCCTCGAGCGGGCCTGCAGGACGACTGCAGCGGAGGATATGAAGGCAAGGAGGCTCCGATCCTACTGTGATCAGGTCACAGATAACAGCATCCTTGAACATTATGAGGTCATGCACGTAGAAAACGCCTCACCAGGGTCAAAACAAAGACGTTTCTTGATTTAATTCAACAATCCAATCTTTAGATGGTTCTTTGGTCTCTCCGCCAAAGAAAAAGTTTTACCATCTGTTTAAATGAAACATATCCACAGAGCATTCCTCAAACAAAATTCACGTAGCAGCATACACGCTGGGGCTCCAAACAACGTATGTAATGTTTGGCACAACTTAAAGAAAAAAACAAGACTAAAAAACACCAGCAGTATATATCACGACCTTATTCAGATACATACGCAAACAAAACACTGGTTATTCAGACACATGCGCCACTTGATCAGGAGACACCAAAACGCATCTTCTCCTTCCTCGATAAGCAGAGCACCAAATTCTTCAACTCCTTGCATCAGCTTGACACGAGACACGCGTCCGTACTATCCAGCCCAGCGTAATAAGGCACCTGATGGATATCAATGAGACAAATTCTAGACTCTAGTCGTCTCTTCCGTCCTCAATGCCAGATTACCTATAAATAATTGAAAACGGGCATGGATAATTAAAAGCAGAGAAGATAAACATCTAACCAAATTAGAAAATTCAGACAAGGGTCATAGCTTACATATATCTTCATAGCCATCTCATTGGGCATGTCTGTACGTCCACTATATCCAAGTGTAGACATCCATGTCTTCTCCGTGCAGCTGTTGGTGATGCTCTTGGAGTCCAGGCAGCCACTGTGATGAGGCACCTTCCATATCCTCTGTCAGAAACAGCTGGTGCAAGTTGTCCATCCTGTCAACACACCTCAAGTTTGGACACAGCTGTACACGCAGCTCTCTCACTTGGGGAAGATTTGAAACCCTCTCTAGGCCTTGACAACCAATGATTAAAAGATACTCAGAGAGGAAACGGAGGTTCTCCACCACCTTAAGGCTGTGCACATCTCTTAATTGGAGCTCCTTCAAGCTGCTGGCCTCCTGTCCAAGCTGTGGTGGGAGAGCCCTCAGCTTGGGGCAGCAGTCAAGCTCCAACTCCTTCAGTCGTGGCAGCAGCTGCATCCTTGGAGGTGGGGCATCCCACTTTTGATTTGCAGCAGCCTTATCCTCTGCTCCTTCCGTGAATGCTGTTGTTGCTTCTTGTTTTTCTTCAGCAACAAAGGACCACTCCTCCCAGTTGGGCATATCCCTGATGACCAATGTTTCAAGCTTGGGGAAAGCTACTGCCTCTGTAGATCTGAGATTACCCATCCCAGAGCCAACAAATTCGGGTCCAATCATGGGGACTGCAGCGGTTCCTTTGATTTTCAGATATTTCAAGTTGGGGAGCTGACCGATTGGTGGAAGATGAACACATGATTTACAATCTATGAGCTGTAAGTATGTCAGTGAAGGCAAATGGGTAGCAGTATCAAGCCAGGTGGGAAACCTCCGACCAAAGAAATTCATAAAACTCGTTAGCTAATCTACTGCCACCTTGTGTGAAACACAACAGAGGAAGGCGGCGCCGACTTTACCCCCTGCTGTAATACAGTAGCCGCTGCAGGTGCAGGCGCCGCATGGCTCACCTGCAGCACTGTAGGCACATGCAGTGGCCGGCGCAGAGTCAGCCCTGTATACTTATCTAGTTACTGTTACAGCATGTGCGCTGTACCTTAGTTAGATAGATAGAGTTGTATAAATAGGGCACCAAGGCAACTCAGTAAAGAGAGCTCAGATTTGCCATCACACAGACATGGCCTCGGCCAACGTTGTTGTCTTGTATTGTGCGTGCTTGCTCTGTTCTCCCTTCTTCTTCTAGCTTGATCCGTAGTGGGTGGGTACGGACACAACCGGTATAGTGGTCTGGGAGACTAGTGGTCTGGGAAGACTAGTGGTCTGAGAAGACTAGTGGTCTGGTCTGGGAGACTAGTGGTTTGGAGACTAGTTCACTATCGTCTGACGGTGATCCCGTGGGCCAACAAGTGGTATCAGAGCCGTACAAGCGCCGTCGTCATTCTAACCGATGGCGATGACAGGCGGTTCGGAGTTGGGCGATGGCAGTGGCACTGTCATAGCTGCCCAGCCACTACCGGAGGTAGTTGTCCGCACGGTGCGGGAGGTTAGCGGCACCACTTGGCCGACGCCGACTCGCACTAACTATGGAGAGTGGTCGGTGACCATGAAGGTCAAGCTTCGAGCAAGACGGCTCGGAATGCTGTTGACAAGGGCACCGACATGGAAGAAGACGACATATCGGCGTTGGAGGCTATCCTCGCTGCTGCATCGGGCGGAGTCTGAGGGAACCATTGGGGACGAAGAGCTCAATTAAGGAGGCGTGGGAGGCCATTGCGGCGATGGCGTCGGTTCCCGGAGCGCAAAGAAAAGAAGGCAACGGCCCGCTTACCAAGCAGGAGTATGCAAACCTCAAGTTCAAGGATGGTGAAACGGTGGAGGACTTTTTCCTCCGCTTACAGACGCTCATCGCAAAATTTGAAGAGCCACGACGTCAAGATCGACGAAGAGGAGGTGGTCTCCAAATTCCTCCACTTGCGGTAAGCAAAGTACATCCAGATCGCTCTCTCCATAGAGACGATCTTTGGACTTATCCACCCTCTCACCATCGAAGATGTGGCAGGCCGTCTGGGCGGTGGCGGTGGGACGGCGCGGGCGGCGACAAAGAACGGCGACGCGGAAACTCCTGGCCGACGGAAGAGGAGTGGGCTGCTCGGCGAAACACCGGAAGGCAGCCTCCTCCGGTCGCGGTGGCAACGGCAAACATCGCGGCGAGGCTTCTTCTTGGAGAAGAAGCAAATCGACTCAACGCTCGCCGGTGTTGCGGGAAGATGTGCCATTGGGCACGGAGTGCCCAAATCGCAAGAAGGAAAAGAAGGCTCAGGCTCACCTGGCGAAAGCCGATGATGAGGATGAGGCCACTATCCTTATGGCGATGTTCTGTGCACTGCACAACGTCGAGGCCATGGAGAGGGAAGAGGCGACGATGGTGGAAGGATCTAGCAAGGCCCTGAAGACCGTCAACCTCGATGAACCACGCGCCCAAGTCCATCTTGGGCATGTGGGCGTCGACCAGGAGCAGCCATGGTATCTGGACTCTGGTGCCAGTAACCACATGACGGGCTCCAAGGACTCCTTCTCCGAGCTCGACGGCGATGTTACCGGTACGGTGAAGTTTGGTGACGGCTCAAGGGTAGCTATCCCAGGGCGCGGCACCATCATCTTCAGATGCCAGAATGGGGAGCACCGCGCACCATCATCTTCAGATGCCAGAACGAGGAGGCAGCTTGGGACTGGCACAGTCCGAGCACGGGGGAAGCGGGAGGCTTCACCAACACCTTCGTCATCGAGCACTTGGTCATCCACGGCGGTGGAGACGCTGCAGAATAGGTGCCACGCACTCCGGGAGGAGCGCCGAGCACTCCGGCGGTAGAGTCGAGCACTTTTGGGGCAGTGCCGAGCACTTAAGGAGGGATGCCGAGCACTCCAGGAGGAGTGTCGAGCACTTCTGGAGGAATGCCGAGCACGCGAGGAGTGGAGCCAGGAGGTTCTACAGTGGCGGTGACCACTTCAGGACGGGTGCTGAGCACTCCCGTGGCGGAGCCAAGACATCTTACTATGGTTCCGACCACTCCAAGACTGAGGCTGGGCACTCCTACAGTGTGGCCGAACACTGCAGGAGTTATGACGAGCAGTCCAGAAGCAGTGCCAAGCACTTCAGGTGCTATGCAGGGCACTCCGGCGGAAGAAGGAACTCCATCACCCCCGATCGAGTTTGTCTCACCTCCAAGTGACATCACTGAGTTCGTGGACGCCTACCACGAAGGTGAGGAGTTGAGGTTCCGCAGGCTGGACGACATCGTCGGCGGCATAGGTCCCTCAGGTCTGGCGGGTAGGCTGCTCAACGACACAGAGCTGCTACTCGTCAGTGCAGAGGAACCACCCACGTTCGCGTTAGCCGAGCGCGATGGAAACTGGCGACGGGCAATGCTGGAGGAGATGACGGTAATCGAGGAAAACGAGACTTGGCAGCTCGTCGATCCGCCCCCAGGATGCCGTCCGATCAGCCTGAAGTGGGTGTACAAAGTCTAAAGGGACGAGCTCGGCGCCATTGTCAAATACAAGGCACGCCTCGTCGCCCGAGGCTTTGTCCAGCACGAAGGCATCGACTTCGAGGAGGTCTTTGCACCAGTAGCGCGCATGGAGTCGATCCGTTTGCTACTTGCTTTGGCGGCAGCAAAGGTCTGGCGCGTCCATCACTTGGACGTTAAATCGGCCTTCCTCAACGGCGAGCTGGCAGAAACGGTCTTCGTCAGGCAACCTCCAGGGTTCGCTGTCAAGGGAGAGGAGCACAGGGTGCTCCAACTACGCAAAGCACTCTACGGGCTGCGGCAAGCCCCTCGAGCATGGAACGCCAAGCTTGACACCACGCTGGGCGAGCTTGGGTTTCAAAGGTGCGCAACCGAGCACGCACTCTACACGCGACGACGGGGGAAGGAAGAACTCGTGGTCGGCGTGTATGTGGATGACTTAATCGTCACCGGCGCACGCACGGAGGATATCAACAGCTTCAAGCGAGAGATGGCAGCTCGTTTCCGAATGAGCGATCTCGGCGCTCTCTCCTACTACCTCGGCATCGAGGTGAGATAGGGGAAGGAGGAACTCACGCTCGGGCAAAGCGCGTATGCCTCCAAGCTGTTGGAGAGGAGCGGTATGGTGGAGTGCAAGCCATGCGTGACTCCGATGGAGGAGCTGCTGAAGCTGACAAAGGACAGCACCGCGGCGAAAGTAGATGCAACACTCTACCGGAGCATCGTCGGAGGTATGCGCTACCTAGTTCACACAAGGCCGGACATTGCGTTCGCCGTGGGCTACGTCAGTCGCTTCATGGAGGATCCCAGAGAGGATAACTGGGCTGCGGTGCAGCGGCTACTATGCTACATCAAGGGGATGGTGAATCATGGAATCATCTTCCCAAAGACCAGGGGAAGTAGGCTGCAGCTCACGGTGTTCAACGATGCAGACATGGCGGGGGACATCGACGGACGACGGAGCACCTCTGGCGTACTCGTCTTCCTCGGGTCAGCCCAATTTCATGGTTGTCGCTGAAACAGAAGGTGGTGGCGCTATCTACGTGCGAGGCAGAGTACGTAGCGGCGGCCACAGCGGCGTGCCAAGTTGTGTGGCTACGCCGGCTGCTGGGTGAGCTAACCGGCGTGGAAGCTCACCCACCAGCACTGATGGTGGACAACCAGCCCGCCATCGCCCTCGCGAAGAATCCGGTTCTGCACGACCGGAGTAAACACATCGACGTGAAGTTCCACTTCCTCAGGGACTGTGTTGATGGAGGGCAGATCGTCATCGAGTTTGTCGAAACTGGTCGGCAACTCGCGGACGTCCTCACCAAGCCGCTCGGACGACTTCGACTCACGGAGCTGAAGGAGATGATCGGCATGGAGGGGGTGCAAGGGTTAGCAGTAGGATTAAGGGAAGATTGTTAGCTAATCTACTGCCACCTTGTGTGAAACACAGCAGAGGAAGGCGGCGCCGACTTTACCCCCTGCTGTAATACAGTAGGCGCTGCCGGTGCAGGCGCCGCATGGCTCACCTGCAGCACTGTAGGCACATGCAGTGGCCGGCGCAGAGTCAGCCCTGTATACTTATCTAGTTACTGTTACAGCATGTGCGTTGTACCTTAGTTAGATAGATAGAGTTGTATAAATAGGGCACCAAGGCAACTCAGTAAAGAGAGCTCAGATTTGCCATCACACAGACAGGGCCTTGGCCAACGTTGTTGTCTTGTATTGTGCGTGCTTGCTCTGTTCTCCCTTCTTCTAGCTCGATCCGTAGTGGGTGGGTACGGACACAACCGGTATAGTGGTCTGGAAAGACTAGTGGTCTGGGAGACTAGTGGTCTGGGAAGACTAGTGGTCTGGTCTGGGAGACTAGTGGTCTGGGAGACTAGTGGTCTGGAGACTAGTTCACTATCGTCTGACGGTGATCCCGTGGGCCAACAAAACTGAGACCCTCTAGGTTGTGCGCAGGGATTAGCAAATCAAAGGTTTTCTCAATATTGATTACAGCATCTTCAGAATATGGCTCATGTGTGTGTTCACTGCAACCTAGGAATAAGTCTCTGAGATGTTTTTTGTTTGCTAGCAATGTATCTTTACTAGGAGGAACTGCTCTTTCCAGTTTTATCATATCAAGCCTTCTCAACTGCCAAAGGGGATCCAATTCTTCTAGGTTCCATCCATCTTGCATTCTAGAATTGTTGCAAGAGCCACCACCAATCGGAAAACCATTTAAATCATTGAGTGAAATTAATCTGCCAATACCTTTTGGAACCTCATTTATTGGTGAGCTCAGTAGGCCAAGTCGGCTTAAGTTGCATAGCTGAGTTATTCCTGAAGGAAGACTATGCAAAGAATCACACCTCTGCAAATTCAATATCTGAAGGTTTATGAGATAACAGATGGACTCTGGAAGGGAAGATATGTCAGTCCCATCAAGGTCTAGTAATCGTAGATGGATCAAACGTCCAATGCAAGATGGAACATTTTGTATCTGTGAACCTGTCAAATCCAAAACTCGAATGCATGGTAATCTTTCAAATATTGTATCATCAACTCTCAAAGACTTTGTATAAGATGTTCTCCAAGTTCTCACTTTACATTTCCCCTTATCTGTTCTAGGTAACACAACCATATCATTCATAGTGACAGCTAAAATATGGCGGAATTTACTCATAACAGTAACCCCTGCTGAATCTGGATCACCAACAAAAAGTTCTTCTCTGGATAAATGACAAGCAAGCTGCCTTAGTAGATCATGCAGTCTACATTGAATAAGATCAGCAGAATAGTAATAATCTGGTTGGAGGAGATTTCGATGGATCAGCTCATAGTAGTGTTCTTCTGCTATATCTTCAAGGACTCGGTCATCTTGTTCATCTATAAAGCCTTGAGCGACCCACATCCTTACAATATCATCATGGTAGATTACTGAATCTTCAGGGAAAATAGCACAATAGATAAAACATTGCTTCAAATGGTGTGGCAGCTCTTCGTAACTTAGATATATAGGACTTATTATTTCACTAGGAAGACTACTCATGGACCAAGCATCTTTTACCAAAATCTTCTTCCACTCATTTTACAGTTTGATCTTTGGTTGCCAAAACTCTAGCAATGACTTTAATTGCAAGGGGAAGACCACCACATCTACGAACAATATGGATCCCTAAGTCATGTAGATTTTGTACTTCTTTTTCTTGTTTGATGCCCATGCTCTTCCATAGTAACTCCCATCCTATATCCGGTGACATTAAATCAACTCGATGTGTATAGTCCATTCCGGTTTCTACAGCAACAGTGTCAAATTGAGTTGTCAATAAAACTACTACTGAGGATGCAACATGTAGTGGGATTCTCAGTAGATTTGTCCATATGTCTGACTGCCACACATCATCCAGCACAAGAAAAAAACTCTTATCCTTAATGGACAGTTCTAGCTTGCTTTGGAGCTCATCGGTTAAGTCATCTGGCATGTACTGTATTTTAATTTTTCGTAGAATCTCCTTTAAAATAGCTATTTCAGAGAAATCTTGGGAAACACAAACCCATGCTTGTTTGTTGAAGATCCTTTAAAATCCTCCCTTTTAGTTTTTGGTCATTGTATATTTTTTGTTCTAGTGTTGTCTTACCAACTCGTCCTGTTTCAACGATAGCAACCTTATAAGACCTTTTTTCCTTATGTGCAAGCACAAATCTACTACTTTTCTGCAAGCACGTAAGACCTCCTTACCAACAAGGTTTGGCTCAACAAGGCTGGAACTTCTTCTCTGTTTTGGTACAGAAACTGTTAGAGTTGATTGTGTACTCTTGAGTGAAGTAAATACTTTATCCTTTGAAATATTATCAATTCTTTTGTTTAAGTTTTTAATCTTAACTGCAATCTCATGACGTGTCTTGATATTAAAAAAGCAAGAGGAAAGAGAAGGGCCACTGCATGTATTTGAACTGCTTGATACTAATGAAGAATGGTCTGGCAATAGCTTGCTTCCTTTGGATTTGGCCAAGTCAATGATATCATCAGCATCATACATAGCATCTCTTAGCTGACCAAGCCAATTGTTAACAGCAGATTCTTTTATGCTCCTTTTCTCTGCATCATTAAGAAAGTACCATATTATACCATCAGCCAAGTCAATGATATCATCAGCCAATTTTTTTTTATTTAATAAAATAAATAAATATAACAAAAAAGATTTTTCAAATCCCGTAATCACGGGAGTACAAGAAGCAAGCGGTCATTCATTTCTTAGTTCGTGTGCACTTTACATGTTATTATATGCGTATACATATTATACATGCATAATACACCTAAGCTTAACTCGCATATACATCTTAACGCTAGCTAACACAATACACAGGAGATGTATGTTACATGCGTATACATGTTATACATGCATCATACACCTAATCTTAACATGCATATACATCTTACATACATTTAAATACGCAAGTTAACACAGGAGGGACATGTTGCATCGAAAAATCGTGAGCTAACATGACGACGGTACCTAACACGGAGCGTTACAAGCATCATCAAAAGACTAACATGCTAACTCAAATAGATCAATCCAAAGTTCCAAAATAAAAAGATTTACCATAATTAATAGATTACACATGCATCAATTAGATGTAGAAAAAAGATTTTTATATATCTAAAAATTACCTTATTTATCCTATTTTATAAAATAAAAAATTAAAATAAATATATATTTTACATATTACTTCCTAGTAGGTAATTGATGATTTTAACCATTTGATCGAATTAAATGTATGGTTCACAGTCCTTTGGGAGTAAAGCCCTTGTACAATAAGTTTTATATGAGTATAGTGAACTCACATCCAGAATTTTCGTGCACCTTGTTATTAAGTTATATATGAATAAACATCATTTCTCTACCGTCAATAAATCATGCATAATGCCATACCATATGGATTAGAAACTAATAATACACTAGGTACATGACGGTGGTGGTTGACATGATATATACAGGAATAAACATCTTTTGTCTACTGTCAGTAAATCATGCATTATGCCATGCCATATGGATTAGAAACTAATAATACACTAAAGAAATTTACTATGATGCCTCCAAATGACTGTAAGCCCTTCATTAGATCAGACGGCTAGAATCATCTATTAGTTTCAAGGAGGTAATAGGTCAAATAAATATTTAGTTAATTTTTAATTTTGGAAAATAGGATAAAATAAGGAAAGTTCTAGATGTAAAGATCATTTTTAGATCTTTGATGCATACAAGATCTATTGAATGTGATAAATCTTTTTATTTTTGTAACTTTGGATATGACATAATTTAGGTATCATATATAAACTACCTATTTGTTTATGCAAGTAACCCTGTCGTACGTACATGTCCACAAGACAACTACAACGTGTACGTGTACATGCCAAAAGACGTGTCCAACATACATGAAATTTACGTGTATACGTAAAACTTCACGTTACATGCTCAATATATAATGTGACAGCTATTAACGTTGGACACAAAACTTCACGGTGTTGATATTATTCAAGTATGTAACATATTTTTTTAACTGAGTATATAATATGAATGGTGTACAACTTTAACATAACTGCTGAAAAGCTAGGCTGAAAAGTATTGTTCGCTGATTTGTTGTGAGAGAAAAACATTGTACCATGGCTGATAAGCCAGGCTGATAAGTTCAAGCGAACAGGGAGGCCCCGTTTGGATCCTTGAATTGAATTCATTTTAAGAATCATAATTTAGACACATATTAATTAAGCTAATATGGTTGTAAATGAATTATATTTGTATATTATTATTGACTATACGAGAGAGATACTTATGTGTTGTATTTCTACCGTAGGAGAGCGAGTTGAAGAGCATATTATGAGTTGCAAAGTAGAAATATAACATGGTGATCTATAGAACCAATTTCCGTATCACACCTTATGAATTGGAGATATGCTTATATGTGAACTTTGGAAAGTGGTGGAATGTCAAATTCCAAGCTAAATAGCCTAGTTTATGAAGTAGATTTCAATTTCTCCAAATGAAAGGATCTAAACATTGGTCCAAATTTTTTTGTACGTGTAGTGTATACATGTATATATTAGCAAAAAGTAAAAATAGAACTAAAATAGCAACTTATTCACGTTGAACCCAAAAGGAAGGGTCCATCTGCACGGAAAAGGAAGGCGCCATGCGCTTGATTCTCTCTTCCGTGACGTGAGGATTTAATGATGTTTATTTTCTTTTCTTATATTAATTAATTAGATAATTAACTCAAAAATCCTAAAAAATCAATGGCTCGGATTTATTTGAGATATTACCTCTTAATAAATAAAGTGGATACCGTAGCATTGCCCTACACTACACGACGGTGGTGGTTGACAAAATGAGTAGTAAGGTAAAATATTGAGGTATAAACCCCTGTTCTAGCTTCATTCTTGTCCCTTTCTATTTCAAGTGTTGTAAGTTAAGGTACTCTAGATTTGATGTTATCAATTTCAAAAAGTACTTGGCATGTTGCACTTGCACGTAAAACCTCTACTAATACTTCCATTAGTACAATAGATATTCTGAAGGCTTCATCCAACTGCGATAAACTTATCAATAATTACTGATTTTGTTTTTTTCATACATATACGTAGTTTTTAAAAAAATTCGATTGCATCTGCCTATTTTCAATTTGAATTTAGTTGAAGCCTTAGCGTTAACTATGTGGCTCTTGTTGTAGGCCACATCTTATGACATAATGGATATAAATTTTAATTTTTAAATTTATCCACATTGTAGCGTACACTAAAGTGAAATCTCCGTTAAAGCCTTTAATTAGTAAGAGCAAAGATGCAACGAAGGAAATGCACCTATTTCTAGAACGGTGGAACTTGGAAGAGACACCATTACCTGCTGGCTGCTGCCTGGCCGCGTCGCCTCTCTTCCTCTACTCTGTGTTGGCTATATTATGAGCAAAACTTCTGTATGGAGCTCAAGCTCTTAGAATGAATCCTAGGATGACGCGCAAAGGTTCCTGACAGAGCACCCTTCTTCCGATGCAGCTTAGATGGCCCAAGAACAATCGTTCTTTGTACTAATCCATTCCTCTCTGAAATGTAGGAACAGTTGGAAGCAGCTTTAGCAGAGGAAACAGGGCAACGGAGGAGCAGTAAGAATAGTTCTGTATGGAGCTGAAGCTCTTCGAATGGAACAGTTGCATTTAAGATAGTAAAAAACACCCCCAAATATAGAAACAGGGCAAATGGAGTTTAACTTTAATCACGACAAGCCATTTACCGTAATGAACTGGAAGGAGAGAATTATGATGAGTCCATCACCAGGAAATAACCATACGGGGCCTAGAAAATAAAAGATAACAGCATGTATGGCCTTCTGAAAACACCACCCCTAATCAATAAGTAACTTTAGATAGCTCTTGCATCAATGGAACTATGAAGCTGACCAAGTGACCGTTCTTCCTTGATTGGGGAGTGGAGAATTACTTGCAGTAGCAGTAGTAGTTAAAACCAATAGATGAAGTTATCGCCACAAAAATATGTCACCCCTGCGAATGCGATGCAGCATAAAGCAACACAACTGAATTAGCCACGATGGTCGAAGAAGACTGGAAGGAATGCATGCATGAGCTGCATCCTTTGTAATAACAATAACAACAAACTCAATGGTCGATGGAACGCACCTCTTGCTCTTGGCACTCAGCCAAGATGGTCCAAGCGAGATTTGCAGTCTCCCAAGCGAGATTTGCAGTCTCCCAAGATGGTGGTGGCCTCTCTGTTCTCTGTATCTGCTGGATTTCATGGGTAGGGGAGAAGAAAAAGAAGGGCGTGCGTCTCATATGTCTTCTGAAAAGCAAAAAGTTTCATTCGTTTCAGAGGAGCAAAGAATACCCGGATGACACGCAAAGCCGCTCCAGGAGCAGATTCTCCACAAGATGACGCTTTGATTAAACTTTGGCAGGCAAGCGAAGAACCCCCCTCTGCATTGCTTTTGAGGTGGTGTGCGTCCCAACGGTGAGGACGTCTGTTCTTTTAGGATTCAT